ATTTCATTCATTCAGATCTAGGATGTGTTATTTTAGTGTTCCCTTTAGTTTTTTGAGCAGTGTATATTTTCCTCAATTCATCTGTATTAAGAGATGGATGCAAGACCAAGGGTGTGAAAACTAGAGTAACATTTAATAATACAAAAGGTTTACCGCTAAGATGGTCCTCCATAATGTTAACAAGAAAGCCACTTCCCTAATGAGCTCCCATTGAACTCTGTGGGTTGCACCAGGCTGCCATACCAGACTGCCTGGTAGAGTGGAGAGAAACTGGACACACAAACATCACATTACCATCCATTGAAGAAATCCGATTGGATGACTTGTTGTACTTTTAAGTAAGATTGCGGTCACACCACAGTCAAATGACGTGGTACCATAGTATCAAGTTGATGTTTAAAGAGATTTACTTCTAAAGGCCCCTTTCACTTGGCTTGCCTGGCTAAAGCAATATACTTAGTATAGAATTCTAGAATTCTGTAGTATACTATACTCAAACACTGTAGTATCCCTTGATCATGTGTAGTTGTTACTATATAATTTTGTAGTATACTATACTAAACAATAGTATCCCTTGATCGTGTAGTCCTTACTATATACTTTTGTAGTATATTGTAGCATACTAAACTCCACACTGTAGTATCCCTCGATCATGTGTAGGACTTACTAGTGTCCACTGTCTGCAAAAACACTACAGTTTTTTAACTATAGTAATACTACAGTATTTACGTTGCATATATACCCCACCCATTCCCCTCCCCATATCCCAATTTGTGTGCCACCCATGAGCAACCTACATGCCAAGTATAGACCATATATTGTGTTCCTTACAGGCCTACAGGTTATAGAAAATCTATCCATTTAGACTCCAGTTCCTACCTACAGGTTATGAACAATTTGTTATTTTAGTAATTTTCCAGTAGGTTTCATCAAGGAGAAAGCCCCCACTTCTAAAGATAAAACAAAAACACTAGTCAATACTACAGTAATGTCCACAAAACACTACAGTAAATACTATAGTATATACTATGGTTTAACTATAGTAAAGTGTAAATACCACAGCATACTACAGTTCAGTCAGCAAAAACACTACAGTGAATACTATATGAAGTATATAAATATAGTAATACTACAGTGTTTATACCATAGTATACTATAGTATTTTTTCATGTGGTTCTGGCTGACACCAGGCTATTACTTAGCCCCTTCACTTGATAGACCTGCCATCTAGGCCCTACATAACAAATTATACAGAAAATTGTAATCCATGCAAGCTAAAATGAACTTATTTTGTACTTATTTTGTCCTTTAGTCCAGCGAGGAAAACGTAAATGAAAAAATGTGTAAGACAAATGTGTCAGACATTGATATAGTGGGGGGGGCCAAGGAGCGCCAAGCTCCGGCATCTCTCCATTCAAATCCATATCCATGACTGAGCCACAGGACGCAAGACCATGCGTTTTCCCGTATTCGACTAAACGTCATAATCATTGATAACGTTCCGTAGATTGCATCATAATTAACAGAATTAGGCCCATATCAAGGGATGTATTGTTTATCTACAACTTAATTCGAGTATCAGATAGTATAGAGGAACAGATTTTTTGGATGAAATATCCATTTTCACCAAAATATAATTTCATTCACAACTGTCTTCAAAATGATTCCCCAAGCTGTGATCATTGATTGTTTTGGAGTCTGTGAGAGCTTGTAGGCTATGGTAGCCTACAGCATAGACAGTGTTTAAACCATTTTATAGAATCCTGGAGTTCTGTGAATGTGACTAAAGCTTTTATCAAATACTGTCCATCATTCAGATTAAGTTTATTATACAAGGAAGGCTGGGGCTCAATGACCTCAAAGAAGTTGAGTTTCTCAGCCTTTATTTATAATGTATTGATCATTAGACATAATAGATATATCAGGAAGAGATGTAGGATATTTCACATTACGGCAAAAATGTAAAGTGGAGATTGTTCAGTTCAAATGCGTTTCATCTTCAGTAGGCATAGGCTACAGCAGGCAGTGAGGTGACATGGCTCCCTCGTTTACAGGCACGTAAAGAGAGGAGAGGAAGCGTTCAGAATTTGTATTTTGTAGTAGTAGTTGGTATCGGATTTGTACAGTGCCTTCAGAAAGTATTCACACCCCTTGACTTTCTCCACAATTTGTTGAGGTACAGCCTGAATTTAAAGTGGATTAAATTGAGATGTTTTGTCACTGGCCTACACACATTACCCCATAATGTCAAAGTGGAATTATGTTTTTTGACATTTGTACAAATTAATAAAAAATGAAAAGCTGAAATGTCTTGAGGCAATTAGTATTCAACTCCTTTGTTATGGCAAGCCTAAATAAGTTCAGGAGTAAAAATGTGCTTAACAAGTCACATAAGTTGCATGGACTCACTCTGTGCAATAATAGTGTTTAACATGATTTTTGAATGACTACCTCATCTCTGCACCCCATCCATACAATTATTTGCAAGGTCCGTCAGTCGAGCAGTGAATGTCAAACAGATTCAACCACAAAGACAAAGGAGGTTTTCCAATGCCTCGCAAAGAAGGACACCTATTGGTAGATGGGTAAAAATAAGAAAAAGCAGACATTGAATATCCCTTTGACCATGGTGAAGTTATTAGTTACCCTTTGGATGGTGTGTCAATACACCAGTCACTACAAATATACAGGCGTCCTTCCTAACTCAGTTGCCTGAGAGGAAGGAAACCGCTCAGGGATTTCACCATGAGGCCAATGGAGACTTTAAAACAGTTACAGTTTAATGGCTGTGATAGGAGAAAACTACAACATTGTAGTTACTCCACAATACTAACCTAATTGACAGAGTGAAAAGAAGGAACCCTGTACAGATTTAAAATATTCTAAAACATGCATCCTGTTTGCTACAAGGCACTAAAGTACTGCAAAAAATGTAGCAAAGCAATTCACTTTTTGTCCTGAATATCCAATACAACACATTACTGAGTACCACTCTCCATATTTTCAAGCATAGTGGTGGCTGCGTCATGTTATGGGTATGCTTGTAATCGTTAAGGACTGGGGAGTTTTTCGCGATAAAAAATAAATGAAATGGAGCTAAACACAGGCAAAATGCTAGAAGAAAACCTGGTTCAGTTGCTTACCAGTTTGACTTAAATCAGCTTGAAAATCTATTGCAAGACCTGAAAATGGTTGTCTAGCAATGATCAACAACCAATTTGACAGCGCTTGATGAATTTTGAAAATAATAAAAATGGCAAATGTTGCACAATCCAGGTGTGGAAAGTGTTACGGGCTTTGGTTTTTCCATTTATATTTTGAGGTTAGCACTTGGGGTGCGCCGATTAGTGTCACCTCGTTAGTCAGCATGTATTACACCTGTGCTGGTTGGTCATCTCGTTAGTGGGAAGGTGTTTCACCTGTGCTGGCCCAGGTGCTATTTAACAGTGGCTGGTCCAGTGCTCCAGTTGTCTTGAGAGATGTGTAGGGTTAACACCTTTAGTTGACGCTCCCTATTTGAGTTCTAGACAAACAATCATTTATCTGATCTTCCCTGTTTTCATTTTGCTCCACTTTGTGGTTTGCTTCCTGTCTTTAAATGTTTCTTTTGTTTGCCTCTTCTTGGTCAAATTTAGTGGGCACTCATGGTGGGTGTCTTTTAGGTCCCAGTTGTTGTTGCTAGTCAACTTTCAGTGAATACCTCCATCAGTGTCTTTCAGAACCCCTCCTAAAACCCCACCTGTTTTTGGTTGTTGTCAGTGACTCTTTGTTAGTTCCCCTTCTGTTTGAGCAACAGTTTTTGGTTTTCTTGCTGGGGAACATAAGCTCTTAGACTTACCCAGAAACACTCACAACTATAAATCTCTGCCAACGGTGATTCTAACATGTATTGACTCATGGGGTTGAATACTTATCGAATCAAGATGGTGTTTTATTTTTCCTAATTATGTGTAGATCCTTGACCAAAAAATGACTGTTGAAACCATTTTAATCACACTTTGTAACAACAGAATGTGAAAGAGATACCGAGGTGTGAGAAGTGTGCAGGAGGGCATGGGACAAAGTGTGTAGTTCCAGTGGAAAAAGTGGTGTTTAAATTATGGGGGTGCCCATGTTCCTGGGGATCAGAAATGTCCTGTGAGATAGTGAGGCAGGTTGAGGTTGCAGTGCAGAAATTGTCATATGCTGAGGCAGTGAGGAAAGAAGAGGATGATTGGCAAAGGGTGAGGGAGCCTGAGAGGATCCCTGTGAGTAGTAGGCCAGTACATTGACCCAAACAGATTAATAATGTTGAGTTCTTGGCATTTATTGCTATGGTCATTAATTGTACCGCACAGATAGAAAGGAAATCCCAGAAGATTGATTTGGTAGTAGCAGCAGCAGAGAAGTTTTTGGGTGTCAGAGATATTAGTGCAGAAGAACTACAGGGCGTTTTAAGAGAAGGGGTTCCAGCCTCCCAGGCCGAGCGCCGGGTGTAGGATATGTTAGGGCTAAAGTAGTGTGAAGGGGTGGTGGGCTTGTTGGGGATAATGGTGTATAGCTAGGGCACAGGAGGTTGGTGGCACCTTAATTGGGGAGAACGGGCTCGTGGTAATGACTGGAGCGGAGTTAGTGTAATGGTAACAAATACATCATACACATGGTTTCCAGATGTTTGATGCCATTCCATTTGCTCCGTTCAGGCCATTATTATGAGACGTTCTCCCCTCAGCAGCCTCCTGTGAGCTAGGGTCCGTTAGATGGTGGTGCAATTTCTTTTTTCTCCTTTCCCTTGACTTTTATGTGAACAAAATGTGCAATTCACTCTCCGACCTGTGAAAGGCAGCAATACGCAATAAAGCGTCTAGTCTGTCTGCCGGAAAACCACACGAAGAAGAAGAGTTCGCCTTGTTTATTGATACAACCGGAAAGTATCTTTGCTGTTTATCTCAAATGGATGGCTAGCTTCTACCGAACATAGGCTAAACGTTTCCACTTTACCATCCCTCAAAATGTCAAAAATGCAGCTGTTACAGGATTATCTAAACGAGCGATTAACAGCGGTGGCTGTTGAGATATTTGGGGCAGTGGAAAATACCATAGCAGAGTACCAGGAAGAAATCTCCCGTTCAAAGGAGGAGATCGATCGTTTACGGAAGCTGCTGGATTTGGTTTTCCAACCCGACATAATGTTACATAGAGCAGGTTAGTAGTGAATGATGACCGCTGCTAGATCAATCAGTGTGATTGAATCAGCCAGGCCTGGCAATCAACCGATTAACCAGCGTTTGTTGTTTGTACACTGAACAAAAATATAAACGCAAGTGTTGGTTTCATGAGCTGAAATAAAAGATCCCAGAAATGTTCCATACACACAAAAAGCTTTTCAAGTTTTGGGAACAAATGTTTACATCCCTGTTAGTGAGCATTTCTCCTTTGACAAGATAATCCATACACCTGACAGCTGTGGCATATCAAGAAGCTGATTAAAAGGCATGGTCATTACACAGGTGCACCTTGTGCTGGGGACAATAAAAAGCCACTCTAAAATGTGCAGTTTTGTCACACAACACAATGCCACAGATGTGTCAAGTTTTGAGGGAACGTGCAATTGGCATGCTGACTGCAGGAATGCCCACCAGAGCTGTTGCCAGTGAATAATGTTAATTGTTCTACCATATGCCACCTCCAACGTCATTTTAGAGAATTTGGCAGTACGTCCAACCGGCATCACAACCGCAGACCACATGTATGGTGTCGTATGGACGAGCAGTTTGCTGATGTCAACATTGTGAACAGAGTGCCCCATGATGGCAGTGGGGTTATGGTATGGGCAGGCGTAATCTACGAACACAATTGCATTTTATTGATGGCGATTTGAATGCACAGAGATACCGTGATGAGATCCTGAGGCCCATTGTCATGCCATTCATCTGCCGGCATCACCTCATGTTTCAGCATGATAATGCACAGCCCCATGTCCCAAGGATCTGTACACAATTTCTGGAAGCTGAAAATGTTCCAGTTCTTCCATGGCCTGCATACTCACCAGAAATGTCACCCATTTGGAATGCTCTGGATCGACGTGTACAACAGCGTTTTCCAGTTTCCGCCAATATCCAGCAACTTCACACAGCCATTGAAAAGGAGTGGGACAACATTCCACAGGCCACAATCAACAGCTTAATCAACTCTATGCAAAGGAAATGTGTCGCGCTGCATGAGGCAAATGGTGTTCACACCAGATAGTAAAATCTTAGAAATTGTTGGATGTGGCGTTTATATTTTTGTTCAGTATATATGAAAATTAATATTCATTTGAATTTGGCACATAACTATTGAATAGTAATTATTTATCCTATCCTCTCAGATCCCCAGCAGCTCACATTTCCTGTACCTGAAGAAGTTCCTCCTGAGCAGCAGCACTGTGAGCAGGAGTGGAGCACCAGTCCAGGGCAGGAGGATCCAGAGCCCACACAGATTAAAGAGGAACAGGAGGAGTTTGTGACCAGTCAGGAGGAAGAGCAGCTTCAGGGGCTGGAGTCTGATACCAAAGAGTTCATATTAATTTCTACCTGTGTGAAAAGGGACTGTGATAAGGGCCCACCCCAGTCCTCACATCTTCCCCAAACCCAGACTATGGAGAACAGAGAGAGGGACTCTCTTCCCACCAAAACAATTGAACAAGACATCAAAACAGAACATGAAGAGGGCTACAGAGAATCTGAACCAAACAATGAATTACAGCCCCTCTCTCCAGTAAATTCAGACTGTTCTGCAGCTCATATTGGGAACAGTGAAAGTGACAATGGGGTGGACAGTGGAGGACTAATGTCAGGGTTACAGCCACACAAATCAAAGAGAACATGGACAAAGAAAGGACAAAGCTCTAAAACCAGGGAAGCCAGTGAGTTGAAAGTTCCGTTGAGGGCAGCTCACTCAGGGGAGAGACCACACAGGTGTCCTGTCTGCAGGAAATGCTTTCTGAAAAGTAGCATTTTAAAAACGCATCAGAGAATTCACACTGGGATAAGACCATATTGCTGCAATGTATGTGGCAAAAGTTTCAGAGAGAAGGGAAGCCTGACAGAACATATGACAAGTCACACTGGGGAGAAACCATATCAGTGCAAAGACTGTGGCAAATGCTTTATCCGGATGAGAAACCTGACAGACCATATGAGGATACACACTGGAGAGAAACCGTATCAGTGCAGTGATTGTGGCAAATGCTTCAGTCAGAAGAAAACCCTGACCATACATATGAGGACAGTACACTGGAGAGAAACCGTATCTGTGCAAAGAATGTTGCAAATGCTTCAGCCAGATGAAAAGCCTGAAAGTGCCATATTAGGATTCACACAGGTGAGATAGACCAACAGATGAGAGACCATAAATGCCCCATGTGTGTAGAATGCTTCAGATCAGCAAGTCATCTAAAATGGCACCAGCGAAGACGTCACACAGGAGAGAAACCACATTGCTGACTTTGTGGTAAATGCTTCACTTGTAAGAACTGAGGATGAGGATGAACCCAGAGAGAGAAACATGACAGTGCTGCTTGGGGCAAAATCGTACTCTCACTTGTAGTAGGACCTTTCCAATGTAAAACGCTGATGTTTCATAACCCTTCTGAGCATGGCCTCAAATGTATATAATATGTTTTGCTTCCTTGTTGACAACATGACCAAGTGGTGCAAATTGCTGTTTGATTTGAGAAGGGCGTTCCTCCCTCACCGCTTTTGCCCGTTCATGTCACGGGCCATAAACTGGTGCCCCATGGCTCAGCATAATCGAATCCGCCCATTGGCACGTCGGAAATTGGTTTGGCGCCGAAACCTTTTGTTGTGCGTCTCCCGATAATATTACTCTTTCTGTTTATGCATTTAACGATCAGAAAGTTCAACTAAAATGTGTTTATGTGTAACAATTAAAATGTGAAGGCTAATTTAAAGGAATGATTACCTTGTTTATCCCCGTGATTGTTGAGGGCGTTCTGTCCATTTCCTGATCAGAGTTTGACAGGCAAACAGTGGGAGTGTTCGAGCGCATGGTTAATTAATGGTATGGGGTATTCGGAAGTAGCATATTCCCGGGAGGGATTATAAAGTATGGTGTAGCACCTTTATTGAAGTGTGTGCTAGGAAATACACGCATGTTTATAATATAAACGTGTGTATTGTAATAGTTGCCTTTGATTGTTAATTGAGCATCATTGTGTGAAATGTATTCTCATTGGCCGTTGCATTATGGGTAGTGGTATTTAAACCCTGCCATTTCGTTGTTTGAGACAGGACAGAGCCAGGGTATGGTCGGCGTGATGCTGGAGTTTTCGTTGAACGAGCGTTTATGTGAAACAGTTTATGATCCTGTTGCAACCTCCAGTTAATTTTGTTTAGTAAATGTTGTAAAATTTCGCCCACTATTTCCTCACTGCAAATAAAAAGCCTCACCCTGGGCAGGAAATCGGCTCTATATTGTCTTGCCGATTCCGGTTAAAAATCCAACTGCTGGGTCACCCTCACAGAGGGGAAAGGGCTTCAGATTTGAAGACATGCCACCTTATACCTGTAGTAGCAGGACAAACAAACCCATCAATCAATGATCTTGGTTGAATGTATTAAGGGATAAACATGCACAACATTGTAGAAGCCCACAATGTTGTGCCTAACAGAGAACCATGCATTTTTAGACAAACATTTTTACCTTCATTTTGTTTAGAATTATACACAATACATTTAAGTGACTGTCTTGTAGCTGTACTAAAAGCAGCACATGGTTCAAATGTTGGAGTGCCATCTCACCAACTCTAGTTTGAGTCATTACCTCTTATGTTTGTGGAGTGGGTTTGACGCCACTGCACGGTGCTTTTTCCCATAAACCTGACATAGCCCCAGTCCATCTAATGCTATCTATGTTGTGAGCATCTTAGTGGATTGGTCTATCATGCTTCTTGTTAATAAAATGTTATTTTTAATTAGTGTATCATTTTAATGTTTTTGTTATAGGTTATTTTATAGATTAGTTAGTACAGGGGCAGGGCTCAAATGAGCTCAAAGAAATTGAGTAGTTTTTCAACCTTTATTATTAGTCATACATCAGGTAGAGATGAGATGTAGGATATTTCACAGTGAATATATTTGTGAATATAGTGAAAAGTTACTCCACAACTTTTGCTTTGTGCTTGATTTGCATTATATCCTTGGGACACAGCCACGTGGAGATTGTTCAGTTCAGCTGCGCTATATCTCCATTACAGCAGGCGGCGGTATAACAATTTTACCTCGTGCAGGTTCAAAAAGACAAACATCTTTCACTAGGAAGCGTTTGCATTGTTTACACTGAGGGGACGCTTGCATGAGCGTCACGGCAGCAACATTAGCTGGATCCTATCCATATTAAAGACTTCTGGCTTTCGGATTTTGCCTTCAAAATAAAAGTCTGCTGTAAAACGCTGTGTATGATACGAAATCAATATTTTTTTGCAGGATTGCATAGTGCATAATGTAAAAACAAATATAACTACATGGGGGAAAATCTAAAATAAAGAGAATTGCTACTTTCTATAAGATAAAGAATATTATAAGGTGGAGCACATTGAGAAATGGTTGGAACATAATAGCCTACTGGTAAAAAATATACAATTAAAATAAAAACAAAAAAATCATTTTGATTGTATGATTCTTGTTTATTTACTGGTGCTATTGTTCAAGGATGCAATTTTGACATGTAATGTTTAAGAAAAGTATTTATTGCACAAACAAATTGCACTGTACAGGAAGAATTAATGATGGTGTGTCACTATAACCAGCGTCCAGTCTACTCCGTAGAGTCCCTAGAATACAAAACAGCTGAGTTTGAACAAAACGCTAGGTCATAGCAAGTGTTGCTGGACTTTTACTGTGGTCAAATAGGTTGCATGGGCACCTGGATGCTGGTTATAGCACTGTAGAGATAGAGAGAACCTTACTACCTGTCTCAGCTAAAGTTGGGTGGGAAATACTCAGTAGGGTCTTTACTAACCAAATAGGATTTGTTTTTTGAGGGGACTGTGTCGTACATATCCAGCAAACCCTTTGTTTTCCGCCCCCTCCATAGCCCCCAACGCAAAACACTGAAATACACTGTACATGGGATAGATATTGGACTGTAGAGAGAAAACCTTACTGTTTCTGCTAAAGTGGGATGGGAAATACTCAGTAGGGTCTCTAATCAAATATGATTCATTTTTGAGGGGGACTGTCGCACGGCCTGCTGCTGGCTTTTCACTCCGCCCCCTCCATAGCCCCCAATGCAATACAATACACTGTAATAGACTGTACAAATATAGCACTGTACAGGAAAAACTATCGATTGTTTGTCCATAAAACCAGGGTCCAGTCTACTCACTAGAGTCCCTAGAATACAAAACAGATGAGTTTGAACAAAAAGCTAGGTCATAGGAAGTGTTGCTGGACTTTTACTGTGGTCAAACAGCTTAAAATGGGGTACCTGGACACTATAGGTTCAAATATAGATAGCACTGTGTCATAGGACGCATTGTCATACCAAAATACCTTATAATGTATAAGACAAATATCTTATAATCTTCCTTCTGGTGGACACTTTGGAAAATATTCAACATAGTACAATGGCTACCCAGATTATTTTAACACTCAATGTTATGCTATTGCTAGCACATACTTTATTTTTCATGTTTATAGCTATGGTCATCCAATGTGCTTTTAGATTCACAGGTATTATTACATTCTCAAAATGCCACCAATTGCATGCTATTCCAGGTACCTTAGGCAGAACATCTATCCTCTCAGAACAGAGATTCTGTAACGGTTGGCTAACAAAAGAAGCGAGGCACATCAACACAAAGTGATCCTCAAAATGAGATTTTACAAGATCAATTGCTTATTTAGTTAAAATCCTCAGCGATTAGTGAAGATAGTTTCCTCTGAGTTGGCTTAGTTAGGAATTACTTTATGTTGAGAGGAATCACATTCCTTGCATTTGCCAGTGCATAATTCAAATACTTTTATTCAGACCAAAGTGGAGAACCTCTACACTACTTATCCTGTCATATGCAACTAGACAAAGTTTGGCTTTGTGCAGCAATTTGTTGAGTAATTCAAAAACTATAGCCAACTGACAATTTTGTCTCAGTGCAATTTACATGCCAAAGCCGGTCATGACTTGTATACAACTTCACAAATGGGTATTCATCTGAAAATGTGACTATACTGGAAATAGTATATGTATGTTTGCTAAATATGCAAGGTAGACTAAAGCTTTTAGGTAATTTGATCCTAGCCGTGTCCATTTTTACAAGCAAAGTCTATGGGGCATGGGTTACATAAAAGCTTGAATGTTGAGAGAGAGCCCTTTGAATGCTTAGATATATCACATGCTCTGTTCTGTTGATTTGAACCAACAAGGTATTGCCCTATGCTTTCTGCACAAATGTCCCTCGGTTCTACTATCAGTTGTTTTGTAGTCTGACCATACACACTTTGAACGTAGCAATTGATCTGCTATACATTCACAGTCTAAGAAATTTGCGGCTAGAATTTCCTGAACAAAATGTTGAACTATGTCCTTTACACAACTGTAATGAAGTTTCTCTTGAACCATGGATAGTGAAATTATCCCTGAATTGAATGCTTCAAACAGTGAAATTGCCTTTTTAAAGTGAGGAGACTGTTTCACTTGGTCAGCTCTAAGTAATTTCTTTTGGCATTCAGAAAATACTGATGTAATATTCAGAAACATTAAAATAGGTAACACTTTATCCACTGTGTGATTGGAGAGGGATTCATACTGTGGAATGGCAGAAATCGCTGATTCTGAATCAAGTGGTTGTACGTCATTGCAATTTGTTTGCGTCTGAGGCTCATTAACTACTTAATAGAAATATATAACCCCTTCTGTTCTCGTGCCAACCCCTTCCCTATTTATGCCCACAGAAATGTCGAAGTCATCTGCCCTTATCTTAAGTGTCAAATCCAGCTCTGACCAGAAATGCCCCCTCTGAGATTTTGCACCTGAGTGACATATTACAGAGCTCAATCTGTACATCTATTTCTTGTTGCCAACAACTGGGATTTTAATTGCACTGGATGAAAGAACTGGGTCTCTCTTAACTCTACCATTTTCTGCTACACAGGGCACAAAAATAACAAGAATATCTGGTGTGGTGGTCCAAACAGTCTGTCTAATCAATACGCCATCACATTGACTGCAATTTGTGGGTGCACCTCCTTTTGTGATTAATTGCCTGAATAGAATATCAAGCAATGATGTGTCTGTATTTAGCTGAACCTGAAATTTTGTTGAAGTAAAGCTCATTGTGTGAGATGCTGTTTTTGCAAGATCACAGCTATCAGTATGCATGGCACTGACCACTGTTTGATGCCCAAATCTTATAACCCGGGGAGTAATTGATATATAAAATCTAGTAGGTCATTATGCTGACCTATTACCAATGATGGATTGATATGCTTTTGGGCCACATACAGTATTTGAAAATAGGCTGACAACATAACATTCTGAAACGTTAGCTGTCCATGATGCTGATATGCCTCTCACTGTTCAAATGTCAACATAAAGCTTCCTATAACATAGCTTTTTGTTCAAACTCACCTGTTTTGTATTCTAGGGACTCTAGTGAGTAGACTGGACCCTGGTTTTATGGACACACAATCGATCGTTTTTCCTGTACAGTGCTATATTTGAACCATATAGGTTCCAGGCACCCAATTTTAAGCTGTTTGACCACAGTAAAAGGCCAGCAATACTCTGTATTATTCAGAGCCCCATGAAATTACACTATATATAGATTCTACAGACCTTACTGAGTACTTCCCACCCCACTTTTACATCGGCAAAAATAATCGTTTTTTCTCTATAAGCCAATATGAACTGAATGCATATACAGTGATTTGAATTGGGGGCATTTATTTGAACAAGTTTTAAACCCCAAATTGAATGGAAATTGGATACTTAAATATGAACAAATGTGAATCATTGTTAATGTTTAGACAATTATTTTCCATACATCATGAATAAATACAGGTTAATGACTATGTTCTACTATTACGTGGGGGACCTTTATTTTGAACATTTTCGAAATTCCGTGACGCGGAAGTACTGATAATGCTTGCTACCATTAGACACCTTGTTAGCAGCAAAACAAATCTCTTACATTTACATTTAGTAAAACAAAGAGCACTTTGCTTTCCCTCAAAATGTCGAAAATTCAGCTGTTGCAAGTTTTTCTAAACGAGCGCTTAACAGCAGCGACTGTTGAGATATTTGGGGCAGTGGAAAATACCATAGCAGAGTACCAGGAAGAAATATCCCGTTCAAAGGAGGAGATCGAACGTCTACGAAGGCTCCTGGATTTGGCATTCAAACCCGACATAAAGTTACATATTGCAGGTTAGTAGTGGGTAGCGATAACCCCGCTAGAACAATCTGATTGAACCACCTAGCAGGCCATAGCTTCGTCCCGCAACTAGCTAGCCATTTAAATGGCCATTTATATTAACAATTTTGACGTTTATTGTTACAGATATCCTTGTGTAACATTAAAAGGAAAAGTCAAAATTGTTAATATAAATGGTAATTTAAATGGCAAGTTGCGGGACGAAGCTAGCCAGGCCATAGCCCATAGTTTCTAGCTGGATCTTATAACATATCCACTTTGCGAGTTATTTGCCAACCTGTGCCTGTTTGGCAACTTTTCCAGCGTTATCATATATCTGTTATCGTTAGAAGGTTCTGATTAGGAAGGCCTTGTTTGCATCACAGATCAGTATCCAATAAATAATTATGCCTAAATACTATCTTAGATGCTACCAACCCCCCCAAATCAAAACCAAACATGGATTCCATGTGTTCTCGCTTTGTGTTGCAAACCTGTCTGTGTCCCATTTAGTCAGCCTCGCAATTTGCTACAGATTGTTACACCAGAATGTGATTTAACCAAAGATTTGTAGTATCCATTACTGTGAGTTAGAGGTTAGGTACTGTTTGGTGTAGCTCAATATTGGACCAAAGGAGCCCAACGTTACTCCTTAGTCCAAGGACCTTACATTTTCTGTTTAAAGGGCGAGTTGGCTCTGGAACCAAATACTAAACGTGAATCGATTCTCAATCGCGGTACGGTTCTAGAAACATAAATCCCTCTACTTTCAAATCACATCAAAATCATTTCACAAATGCAAAATACACACTTACTGTACACTGTTTTAACACAGTTACAGCCGACAGTATTTTTCAGTGTCAACATGTTTGTGGTGTCTGTCTTCAGTTTACACACTGGTGTTCAGAGACGCAGATAGCTAATTAGCACAGGTAGTCCACTGTCTAACGTTTGTTTTCCTTAAACAAGCACTGTAACATAGAAATATGGCCGTGTGGGAACCCTAACCCTATAAGTGTGTATCAATTAAACCTTTTGTTTTTTGAAAATTATTTCTCGCCGATATGAAAGATAAGGTCCTTATGCTTCCAAAGCCATACCGCAAGCATGCGTGTTAATGTTCCAGACCGAGCGTCATGGCTCTTAACAAAACTTCTCCCTACAGAAGACGCCTTCATCCAATGACTTATGTGTACTTTAATGGAACTGAGATTCATGATCAAGTGTTATGTTTGGTGTAGCACAGATCATTTTTGACCAACCTTAACTTGGCGATACCATCTTCGTTATCGATTTGGCATGTATCTTCTAAAATGTCAGTGTCCAGATGCAGGTGTTGTGTTTTGAATTTAGATAATGCTCCGTTATTAAAATAAATACATATTTGCTCCATGAAGTAATCCAACAACGTGTACGCCGCTATCTTGTCTATTTCAAATCTTCTTTCATTGATTGAGGCAGGTGGGTCCACCCCAAAGTGCCGCATGTCATGATAACACTCACCTGTCTCTTCTTCTCTGGATTATGGGGGTCCGCAAACAAACTACTACTGTGTACGGGTAGTGAACGAGGGGGAAAAAATCCTTTGTGGGAAAGGGGAAAAAACATTTAAGAAAATTACTGTAAAAACTGTTAAATCCCCTTGGATAGTAAAAAGCTTTGGAGCACATTAAATGACATTTTGAGAAAAAGGCAAACTCTGCTCCATTCATTGAATCAGATGGCTCATTCATCACAAAAAGCCACTGATATTGCCAACTACTTTAATGACCTTTTCATTGGCAAGATTAGCACACGTAGGCATGACATGCCAGCAACAAACACTGACACTACACATCCAAGTATATCTGGATAATTGAGTTTGACCAGATACAATGCTGTTTTACAGTAAACAAATTGACAACAGACTTTCAGCACGCTTATAGGGAAGGACATTCAACAAGCACAACACTTACACAAATGACTGATGATTGGCTGAGAGAAATTGATGATGATCATTGAGACATCAAACAGATCTCCCAGATAACACCATCGGTCCAAAACCCTCACTCCAGCTAAAAAAAGAGTCGGAACAAGGCTTGGATTTACTAGATTCCATGACCACTGTACTTCTCTTATTTCCCTTCTTGTTTGCCAATGCAATCCATTCCTTCTCATCTCCACTCAACGCACCATCAGTTTCAAACAAAACATCCGCCTCCGCCATCTTCCCTCTGGGACCTCGAGGCCGGCTTCCCTCACCTGTCTCAATCAATGAGAGATCGCAGTGTACACACTGTTGGATTACTTCATGGAGCAAAAAATGATTTATTTTTAATAACGGAGCATTTTCTAAATTCAAATGCACCACCTGCAATTTTGGCAATGATGCCCTTTATCTACTTCCCCAGAGTCAGATTAACTTTTGGATACCAGTGTGAAGGAAGTTGGAGGTAGTTTCACCAGCCAATGCTAACTAACATTAGCGCAATGCCTGGAAGTCTATGGTTTCATTTTAGTCAATCCGGCTACGACAGAGCCTGGATTCGAACCAGGATCTCTAGTGGCACAGCTAGCACTGCGATGCAGTGCCTTAGACACTGCGCCCCTCGGGAGACCCATGTTTCCAGTTTCTTACAAACTTGCAAAATGCTAGTAGATACCATCATCTTTGGGTAAATCACATTATCTGGTGTAACAATCTGTAGCTACCTCACAATATGGGCACCATGCTGCACGCGCAAACATTGACATCCATGTTTGGTTTTAATTTGGAGGGGGGTGGTAGCATCTAACAATTGGATGTAATATTTCCTGGGCACCACACGGCGACGCAAACAACACATTCTTTATCAGAACGGTCCACCGACCACGGATATACCCTTCGAAGTGGGAAAAGCGTTGCCAAACAGGCACAGACACAGGTCGGTAAATAAGTCGCATGGTGGGCTAGTGTACAATGCTAGACTGAGATACAATAAAGTTACAATCTTTGTCTAGAGAAGCTGGGCTAGCCAGGCCATTGCCACTAAACAACTGATTCATTCAATTATTTAGCTGTAATGTTAGAACTATTTAGAACTGATGAAATTGAACATTCCAATTGTAGCTTACTGTCGTAAATCTAATAGTTGGACTCAAGGCCACATAGAACTGGAAACAAAATCTAACTGATACCCTGTTCTTCTCTTCAGACTTCCAGCAGCTCACTCTCCCTGTCCCTGAAGACGTTCCTCCTGAGCAGCAGGACTGGAGCCCCAGTCTGGGCCAGGGCAACCCAGAGCCCACACAGATTAAAGAGGAACAGGAGGAGTTTAGGACAAGTCATGAGGAAGAGCAGCTTGAAGGGCTGGAGTCTGATATCAAAGAGTTCATATTCACTCTTCCCTGTGTGAAAAGTGACTGTGACCAGGACCCACCTCAGCCCTCACATCTTCCCCAAACCCAGACTGTGGAGAACAGAGAGAGGGACTCTCTACCCACTAAAACAACTAGAAACATAAAAACAGAACCTGATGGAGAGGGCTACAGTGTATCAGAACCAACAAGTGAATCTCAACCCCTTTCTTCAGAAAATTCTGATTGTTCTGCAGCTCATATTGGGAACAGTGAAAGTGACAATGGGGTGGACAGTGGAGGACTAATGTCAGGGTTACAGCCACACAAATCAAAGAGAACATGGACAAAGAAAGTACAAAGCTCTAAAACCAGGGAAGCCAGTGAGTTGAAAGTTCCATTGAGGGCAGCTCACTCAGGGGAGAGACCACATAGGTGTCCTGTCTGCAGGAAATGCTTTCTGAAAAGTAGCATTTTAAAAGCACATCAGAGAATTCACACTGGGGAGAAACCATATTGCTGCAATGTATGTGGCAAAAGTTTCAGTCAGAAGGGAACCCTGACGGAACATATGAGAATTCACACTGGGGAGAAACCATATCAGTGCAAAGAATGTGGCAAATGCTTCAGCCGAATGAGAAACTTGGCAGGCCATATGAGGATACACACTGGAGAGAAACCATATAAGTGCAGTGATTGTGGCAAGTGCTTCAGTCAGAAGATATGCCTGAAAGATCACATGATGACCCACACAGGGGAGAGATCAAACCCCTGCAACATATCCAGATCGCCGCAGCACGCCTGGTGTTCAACCTTCCCAAGTTCTCCCATGTCACCCCGCTCCTCCGCACACTCCACTGGCTTCCAGTCGAAGCTCACGTCATCTTTAAGACCCTGGTGCTTGCCTATGGAGCAGCAAGAGGAACTGCCCCTCCCTACCTTCAGGCTATGGTCAAACCCTACACCCCAACCCAAGCAGTCCGTTCTGCCACCTCTGGTCTCTTGGCCCTCCCACCCCTACAGGAGGGTAGCTCCCGCTCAGTCCAATCAAAGCTCTTCTCTGTCCTTGCGCCCCAATGGTGGAACAAGCTTCCCCCTAATGTCCGTACAGCGGAGTCCATGCCCATCTTCCGAAAATGTCTGAAACCCTACCTCTTGAGAGAGCATCTTATAGACAACAATCTCCATAGACAAACATTAGCAGTAGAATGCCTTACAGAGCTCAGTGACTTTCAACGTGGCACGTCATAAGATACCACCTTTCCAACAAGTCAGTTCGTCAAATTTCTGCCCTGCTAGAGCTGCCCGGGTCAACTGTAAGTGCTGTTATTGTGAAGTGAAAACGTCTAGGAGCAACAACGGCTTAGCCGCGAAGTAGTAGGCCACACAAGCTCACAGAATGGGATCGCCGAGTGCTGAAGCGCGTAGCATGTAAAAACCATCTGTCCTCGATTGCAATACTCACTACCGAGTTCCAAACTGCCTCTGGATGCAACGTCCGCACAATAACTGTTTGTCGGGAGCTTCATGAAATGGGTTTCCATGGTCGAGCAGCTGCACACAAGCCTAAGACCACCATGCGCAATGTCAAGCGTCGGCTGGAGTGGTGTAAAGCTCGCCGCCATTGGACTCTGGAGCAGTGGAAACGCGTTCTCTGGAGTGATGAATCACGCTTCACCATCTGGCAGTCTGACGGACAAATCTGGGTTTGGCGGATGCCAGGAGAACGCTACCTGCCCCAATACATAGTGCCACATGTAAAGTTTGGTAGAGGAGGAATAATGGTCTGGGGCTGTTTTTCATGGTTCGGGCTAGGCCCCTTAGTTCCAGTGAAGGGAAATCTTAATGCTACAGCATAAAATGACATTCTAGACGATTCTGTGGTTCCAACTTTGTGGCAACAGTTTGGGGAAGGCACTGTCCTGTTTCAGCATGACAATGCCCCTGTGCACAAAGTGAGGCCCATACAGAAATGGTTTGTCAAGATTGGTTTGGAAGAACTTGACTGTCCTGCACAGAGCCCTGACCTCAACCCCATCGAACACATTTGGGATGAATTGGAACGCTGACTGAGAGCCAGGCCTAATCGCCCAACATCAGTGCCCGACCTCACTAATGCTCTTGTGGCTGAATGGAAGCAAGTCCCCGCAGCAATATTCCAACATCTAGTGGAAAGCCTTCCCAGAAGAGTGGAGGCTGTTATTGCAGCAAAGGGGGGACCAACTCCATATTAATGCCCATGATTTTGGAATGAGATGTTTGACGAGCAGGTGTCCACATACTTTTGTGTATGTACCGAATTTCATGACTTTAGGTCAAACGGGGTGAGGGGCATGACCGTTCAAAGTTTGCATTTTTAATCGCTTATTATAAACTAGGTGGTTCGAGCCCTGAATGCTGATTGGCTGAAAGCCGTGGTATATCAGACCGTATACCATGGGTATGACAAAACATACATTTTTACTGTTCTAATTACATTGGTAACCAGTTTATAATAGCAATAAGGCACCTCAGGGGTTTATGATATGCACAATTGGCCTATCGTTGTCCGGGTTTGGCCGGGGTAGGTTGTCATTGTAAATCATGAATTTGTTCTTAACTGACTTGCCTAGTTAAATAAAAAAATATGGACAATATACCATGGCTAAGGGCTGTATCCAGGCACTCCGCGTTGCGTCGTGCTTAAGAACAGCCCTTAGCCGTGGTATATTGGCCATATAACACACCCCTATTGCTTAATTATAGCGGCAACATCTTGCCAATCAGTGTAATTTTGTAAATGGCGGATCTCTATGGCAAGACGCATCATTCACCCAAGTTTCATCAAAATCAGCATGTGAAGACCGTACTAACGGACAGAGACCGATCCACAGTCCCCTCCCCGATTTCATCGAGGGGGACAATAAGTAGTTGAAATATCATAGGCTACCTCCTCTGTCAGTATCACATTATCATAGCCTTCTGTCCATGTTGTGAAAACATTCTGAGAAATTTAGGTTGTCCCTTGATGTTCAATTCCTTTAATTCGTTTTTATTATTTACATCAAATGTTATTCTTGCTGTTATTTACATATCAAATGTTGATACTTTTTGACATAATAAAAATGTACATCCATGTGTCTAAAAGAGGCTAAAGTCTTTCAGAATAATTACTGCCTTTTATTCATACAAAATAGACAAAACACAGGAACAACACATCCAGGACAAAACGTTGTAGAGAGTTGGGCTAGCTAGACAAACAAAGGACACCGATAGCCTAAAAGCCGATTTATGCGGTCTGGAGGTTCCGTACGGAGGGTGTGACGCAAATCCGGAGCCTTCAGAGGCTTGCGGAGGCCAAATCAAGCTCTGTACCGCATCGACCACATTTTTTAACAATGCAGAGGGCTCCGTATAGCTCCGCATTGATATGATTGGTTGACGGTAGATGGGTGGGGGGGGTACGTCCTTTATTAACACAAACTCACTTCCTTGACAGCTTCCTTCACAACAGCTCTCCTCTGCGAAGCGCAAGAAGTACGAATGCCCTGACTTCTGCAGAGGCCGCATCGCAGCAAATGCTGTACGGCCAATGCAGACCCCGGAATGACCATAAATCGGCTTTAAGTGTTCAATTATATGACCAAGGGGACGTACACTGAGTGTACAAAACATTAAGAACACCTTCCTAATGTTCCCCTCAGAACTGCCTCAAGGTGTTGAAAGCGTTCCACGGGTATGCTGGCCCATGTTGACTCCAATGCTTTTTGGCTGGATGTCCTTTGGATGGTGGACCCTATATCTATCCCTCTCCTCTCTCACTCTTCTCTCTCCCTCTTTCCCCATACATTCTCCCTATAGCTCTCCCTATATCTCCCTCTCCTCACTCCCTATATCTCCTCTCACACTATCTCTCCCTCTTCTCTCTCTATATTTCTACTCTCGCTCTATATCTCCCCCTCTCCCCAAATCTCTCCTTCTTTCGATCTCTCCCTATATCTCTCCCTCTCCTAGCTATGTCTCTCCCTCTCCTAGCTATGTCTCTCCCTCTCCTAGCTATGTCTCTCCCTCTCCTAGCTATGTCTCTCCCTCTCCTAGCTATATCTCTCCCTCTCCTAGCTATGTCTCTCCCTCTCCTAGCTATGTCTCTCCCTCTCCTAGCTATATCTCTCCCTCTCCTAGCTATGTCTCTCCCCCTCCTAGCTATATCTCTCCCTCTCCTAGCTATATCTCTCCCTCTCCTAGCTATATCTCTCCCTCTCCTCGCTCCCTTGAGCTCCCTATCTCTCCCTCTCCTCTCTTTCTATCTCTCCTCTCTCCATCTCTCCCTCATCTCTCTCTCATCTCTCCCTCATCTCTCTTTCTATCTCTCCCTCTCCTTTCTCCATATCTCTCTCTCTCTCTCTTTCTATCTCTCCCTCTCCTCTCTCTCTCCCTATATCTCTCCCTTTCCCCCTATCTCTAACTATATCTCTCCCTCTCCTCCCTATATCGCTCCCTCTTATCTCTCCCTCTTTCTCTCCCCCTCCATCTGTGTGCCCCTCTCTCTACTGTTGTCCTCCCCATCTCTCATTTTCTGTCTCTTAGGATAATGCAATAATGCTTTATTAATGTGCATTACTCATCTATTATCATAATTCACAGTTCAGCACACAAATTGCTTCCACTGAAAGTGGTTGGATGCCTGTGTGTTTGTGTGTGTCTGTCTAGGTGTGTGTGTGTGTGTGTGTGTTTGGTGGGGGTGGAAAGAGTACGGGTTTATGTGCAGGGATGCGTGCATGCATGTCTATGTTAGGGGCGGCAGGGGGTAGAAATGAGCAAGGGTGTGTGTGTGTGTGTGTGTGTGTGTGTGTATATGTCGTGTGAGGCGATCTCAGACTGGGGATGTTTCCAGTCAAAGGAATTCTAGAGCCACAGAGCAGAGAGATTAAATACAGTCTATCTCAGCCTCCTTATTTGAGCACACCCCGTAAATATACCATTTCCTTTTCAGAGACCCATCGCTCAGAATCACATTCATGATATCCATTTTATTGTGTTTTATGGCATGCCAGAAAGTATGTCAAATTAATATCCACTATATGTACAAAAGTATGTGGACACGCCTTCAAATTAGTGGATTCGTCTATTTCAGCCACACCCGTTGCTGACAGGTGTACAAAATCGAGCACACAGCCATGCAATCTCCATAGACAAAACATTGGCAGTAGAATGGCCTTACTGAAGAGCTCAGTGACTTTCAACGTGGCATCGTCATAGGGTGCCACCTTGCCAACAAGTCTGTTCGTCAAATTTCTGCCCTGCTAGAGCTATCCCAGTCAACTGTAA